CCAGGTAGTTAGGGCGCTCGACTCGCAATCTGCGGGTTCGAATCCCTGTCCCACCAAACATGCTCGCCCCTTTTCAGCCATGAGGCCGTTATAATATGACAGTCAATCCCACTATTCGTTGGTAAAAGAGTTGGCGGTAGGTGGTGATGATTAGCTGCCTTCCCTCTAATTACACTGCTAATTTTTTTTTTTGCACGAAATTAATAACAAACGAACTTTGTTTTGATTTGCGGTCTGTAAATTTAATATTCAATTAATGTGTTTGTTTTTGTTTTTCTGTCTTTAAAAATAACAGAATGCAGTTCGTTTGTTTGACGAATTCAAATTGTTTCTCACCTAGGTAGTTTAACAAACTGATCCTGAAATAATTATATTGACTTTTGAGTTTGTTACAGCGGTGAACTTACAACGCCAAAATTCGGGGCTGGATTCCCCGCGATGGACATAGCTCATAAAGCCCATTGTGTATCTCTGCACTAAAACTGTTGCATAATATGCAGGAGATATCAAATTCACTTTTTGTAACCATAAATGCTATTTTCAGTTCAATACATAAGTAAGTTAGTAAATAAGAAAGAAAAAACAACTAATAGGCATATCATTGGAACTATTTATGTTCTGGTTTATAAAAAAACTGGAATGCTACTAGATGTAGAATCCTTACATCACGTTTTGTTTTTATAAAATATACCGAGGTCTAGAAAGTTTGATATTGCGATCATGTTGAAAAATCAAATCCCCTTATTTATTAAAACATTTTTCATTATTATTTCGATAATTACAGCTCCGTCTTTTAAATCTAATTCTGAGCGCTATATAAAAATACTAAATTGTTTGTATTTACTGAAAAGAAGACACATAAAAGAATCTTTAATATTTTTTCTTTGTTTATATTTATGAAAGTATTTGTGGTATGAATAATGCGTATGTGATATTTTCAAATAACTTTGTGTCAACAGGTAAATTATCAAAGCTCAGTAATAGAACTTGTTCAGTATAGTTAGATTAATTAAAGAGGAGACTGCAAACAATATGTTAACAAACGGAGTTAGTAACATTAACACGTACATTTATGGCTAGAACGAATTGTAATAGCTTCTTTTTGTTTAAGGTCAGCTTATATGACTGAATGCAAACGGTTTCATTGACTCAATATTAAGACAAATATATCGACTAATTCAAACTACATACAAACTCCAAGTTCTGCTATAGCTTTCAGAATACCAAGTTATATATCTTATTAGACAAGTCCAATTAACAAGCAGGGAAATCGAAGTTTCCAGTATGTCTATCTCCATGCATGACTAACATGCCAAAATGTATTAAGCTTTAGCTTAATGGATAATCCAACAAGTTGACCATGTGTGCAAATAGGCATTTCTGTGGTAAAACAACGAATATGTACAAGAAATCCTAAAGGTAGGATTAATTCAAGGTTGTATACATCCTGTTCGACTAGAATGAGTAACTAAGTGCGCATAAACTAGTTATAGATATACCTTTACTTTTATGATTTTTCAAAATTTTAGGTACTATGTTGGTGTACTTTGGTGACAGATTTTCTTGTAGGCAGATTTTGTTAAACAAGACAGATGTCTGTAGGTTTACTTTCTTCTTAGAATTCTTCTCAAGAAGTCGATAAGAAGAAAGTAAACCTACAGACATCGGTCTTGTTTAACAAAATCTGCCTATATACTATGTATGCATGTCTCAAATCCCCTCCTTTACCTTAAGCCATTCTTAATTTTGAAATTAATACAAAGTTAAAATTTAAACTGTACTTGACGTAGTGGAATCTTATACTTAGGTCTAGATGGTACCAAATGCCATGAAATGTGCATTGGACAAAATGTATTATACGATACCGAATTAATTACAACAATTGGGCCATTTAAATATAAAAGACATATAAAAACAAATTTAGATTTAATTCATAGAGAAATGTCATTTAACATAAAATGCTATAAACAGTGACAACGTAAGATATAAGAAAGTTATATTTTCCTATCTTATAAATTGTACAATAATATTCTCTTACAAGGGATGAGTTATGAACAACTCTTCCTTTTTTTCAATACAAATTATATAATACCTCAAATTTTATCTAAAGCAGCTAGCTAGATTACACAGAGAAGGAAATATCACCACAAATGTATTTTAGCAAAATAATAATATCGACGGTAGCCGTATCCATTCTTTATTTTCTCAATTTTTTTGCACAATTACGAACTTCAAATGACCAATAAACCCATACTTTTACTTTGTGTGTCGCATATTTTTTAACATTTACGACTTGCTTTTTAAGCCTTTTAATTTGAATTGCACTTCTTTAAC